AGATATCAGCGAATTTCAATCGATCACGGATCGGACGGACGGAGTGAATGTCTCCGTATGACGTGATATGATTGGTTATTCTCCGCGAGATTGGTATTGATTGGAGATGTTCCGAATTGCAGACACTCGAAAAATAGTCAGTTTTAGGTAAAAATAGTCTTTTTACCTAACAACCTGTACCAACTATTAACGGGATCTCTGTTAAATAATATTATAAGTGAAACAGATTCATCAAAATGGCACAAAATAACGATCGAAAACAGATTTCAAAACCGTCGCACTAAATAGTGGTTGTCATCGATAATAGATTTAACAGTTCTTGTGAACCCAGTGCGTACCACAATATGAGAACCCATGGGCGTTGGTGAATTTAATAATGGCTTCACGTAAACGTCCCTCGTTTGTTGGATTGTATCTCCAAGTACACGTGATCCGTCGAGGTGCATGAGCTGAGCTGCGTTTTCCGAGGTTTTATGTGTTGATGGACGCGCCGGAGCCTGAAGTTGATACTACAAAGAACAAAAAACAGAATGAACCGGCATTTATCTTAGTACGTATCAAATTTTACTGTACATTTTGAAAATCGTCCCCTCTACAGAATAAAACCATTAATTGATGAATACGCACCATTCTGAAACAAACCAGCGTATTCAATCGGAACGTGTTTCCGCCTAATGAAAACGTTCAGAAAGCAGTTTGCAAGTCAGTAGCTCTTTTCTTTTTTTGATTTTACTTCCTTTTATTGAATATACAAAGATACAATTTTCAGGAAGGGGGAAGCGGCCAATCAGAGGGCTGCCATACAACACACATGGGGAAAGTCAGGCGGTGGTTGTGGGATTCGAACACTCGTCCTCCGGGGTGATAATTGGTGACGTTACCACCGGGCCACCACCGCCCCTAATAAAAGGGACTCAATCTTTTTGTGTTTCGATCTGATTACTCGAAAAATTTTCAAAAGAATACCGATAAAAAAATGTAAGGTGCAGCTCAACAAAGAAAAAGTAGAGAAAAAAGTTTAGCTAACATAAACGTTCACAAAGGATATATCAACCTTGATTTAAATCCAAGATAATAACCCCTTTCATCACCATTTTCCAGCTCGTATTTACTACCTACAGATGTAACCCCCTTTAGCTTTACGAGACAGAGACATGTTCAGTTCAGTTCAGTTTGAACAAGCATTAACCATGCACTTTCGTGCGCCGGTTTTGGTTGCTGTAAATGCAACAGTATATTCCGTTCTTATGCGTCCATTGAACGCGAACAAACGAATAACAATGTCAAGTCCACCCATATATGAAGTTTCATCGGATGGGTGTGAACACTTTTATCGTTCAAGTGTAACGATAATTTGGTTCAGGCAGCTTTTAGGGATTTATATTCAAAATGGTTTTCCTTGGACGGATTAATGATCGAATACTACTGCAGCAACGCCAAGATGTACTTCAAAGTCTTCTACGTTTTTATCATTTCAAAAAAGTCTCCCGCCAAGTGTATGTAGTGTGAATTAAAAATAGTCGGAGAAGCATAAAAAACAAAGTGGATGATGAAGCAATTCGACAAAAGGAATAACCAAGCAGATTCCATATTTATATGAAGATTTACAACTAATTTTTAGCCCGATAAATGCAAAAGCAATTTTCGATGAATAATTTAATTGTACAGTTTGAGTCTTATATGTTTAAACAACATCTTAGATTCTAGGATCACTTTTATGAGGAATCTCTCCATAATCCTGGAAGGGATTTTGTTATGGGACCAAATTGTCAAAGCACGCGTTACCCAACTCCTTAGTACAAATGAAGCTGTTGTTTTCCTTTTTTGGTCTTCAATACTTGACTCTATCTGGACGTAATAGATAGTAGGATTTTGCATTTTTATCCCTGACAGATAAATAAAGTATAAAATCACTTATTTTCTATCGTTGAGATCATCTGCATACCACTTTCAATCCTATAGGGATTTTGAAATTGACGTGTGGGCAGAACTCATAAATACCCGCTAGTTAAACTGCCAATAAAACTTAACAACAATTTTATTCGTCCCTCTATTTTTCACGAGAATGGACGAATCGCAAACACACGCATATATATATATATATATATATATATATGGATATATAAAATATTCCGTGGTGTTTCAAGATAAAGACAATATGAATCTTTGAGGCTGCAGCCAAGGATCCAGAAAGCCCAGACGGAAGCCCAATCGGAGCACAATTTCTTGTTCCCACCAAACCAGATTTTGACCTTCTCACCTTAATGTTTCTTACAACATGGATCAATGTCTGCAAATACCGTAAGTTATGGTAGACTTTATTCAGGCATTCGTAGGACGTTCAACGTCCACCTAAGACGATCTAGTGAAATAGTGCTGTTTAGTGGAAGACTGATTCTAACACACGCATGTGGCAGGCACTGTTGCTGTCTTCCGTCAACCTTTTTTCAGAAAGTAGTTATTCAGGACTCAATGTTAAAGTAAAAAATCACATTTTGTTACAAATCGACAAGCTGTAGTCTGACATCAGTTTCAAACCTCACACAACCCGAAAAGAAACTGAATATTAGGAGTAAAAGAGCAAAACAATTGTGTAAGAATGTGACCGAAAGTTGGAAAAACTGTGATAGACTAGGAGAGACTTCGTAATCAAACCGTATAAAAATGGAATATTAAGGTATACTTATGAGAGGAACAAAGGTAAATTTTCATCTCTGATTCTCACAGTCTGAAAAGAGGTATTCGTCCGTCCCTTACTCAAGAACATCGAGTTATGCAGTCGACTCGGCCTGACCATCCGAGTGTTCATGGGACACGTGCGCCGACAGCAGCGATCGATCCTCAGATGATGGAGAATTAACATAATACGAACCCAGCAGAATCATTTCCGACCGCAGCTTCATTAAGATCCGCATCAATTATTATTGTTTAAGATCATGTAGGATACATATCTGAAGGTATTCAGCTGCGTACCACTATCCTTGAAATGGGCTCGGAAAATGCTTTGATCTTAATCAATCACTGTTATTATCTCAAGTCGGGAATGCACTCTGTTCATCTAACGTGGTCAGCACTTTCAGTGAAAAGGTTATTACATTTGTTTCGGAACACATGCGAATAAAATGAGCTTAACTTAAAAAGGAACATCGGAAACGTTTAGCGGAAGTAGAAACTGAAGCATGAACTTCATGAGATCATGCCTCGTCCAATAAAGGAGAAATCTAAGGTTCAGCATAATTACGAAAAACTGTTGTGCTAGTTTATAAAAGTTTAAAGTTATTGCGGATGCAAAAGCAGAGCCAGAGTAGGTCAAGTGTAGATGTGATACATCAGACAAGATTGAGACATACAACCTTAAGGTAATTGTTGATAATGGAGTCGACGAGTGTCATATAAGGGACAACTCCATATCTATACATACGTTCCAGAAAGCGCCTTTTCAAATCCTTAAACAACAAACCAGGAAGACAGCGGGAGAGCAGTAGGTCTAATGGCATAAAACGCAAGAGGAAATAAATTTATAATATGCATATAACGGCACCCTTGGATGGAAAATGTGAAATGTGACAATTGAACTTTATGACTTTAATAGACGTTTTTTCTTGTTGTACAGCCATTTGAGGCCAGCACACAGAAATTACCCAAGGTATTTGAAGTGTTTTGACCGTTCAATGTTTAATTTGCTAATTAAGATGATACAAAACGATAATTATAAATATACAGATGGCCCACGATTTAGTTGAGTTTTCAGCAAAGGTTAACACCATTGGATCATTCAAATGTGGAACTTATGAGTGATTGAAGGGATTTGACGAAATGGTTGTCGTGGGATGCATCACCAACCACATCAGCCATCAGTATACTTAAATGTGATAACAGCTGGGGAGAGTGGTGGATTTTGAATGTAAAGTGTGAAAAGAAAGGGAACGAAATTGTGCCCTGCAACAGAACTGGATTTACACAGACGGTGGAACGTCTAATTCAATTAAGGGAATTGAATTAGCGTCAATCGGTAAAGTAGTCATGAATCTAATTAAACAGATAAAGTGGGAAATTGCTTTGTTGTAATACTGTCAGAACGATGTTTACATCAACTCAGGTAAAAGCTATTGTATAGTACAGAAGGCAAACATGAACGGTCTTGCCTTTTGTGCCGATTGTGGATAAAGTAGAATGTATAAGACGGGTATGCAGTCTCTTATCTTTTCTTATCCAAAGGTTATACACTTCTGTCGGATAAGCGTAAGAAGACCTTCAATTTCAGAGCTATTTTTGTTGTGTTTATTCAATCTGTTCATTTTACCATAAAAAGGATACCGAAAACGTTTGTCAGATGAGTACACCTGAAGATCACTTGTTTTATTTTTTGTTGAACACAATTCGAGGTAGGATCATTGGGATAAATGGTTATCGAAACAACAAACCACCAAAATGATATCGAAACTGGCAGGGCCATAAATGAAACAACACTTGCGAAAGCCATACATGAATGTTACAAATTGCATCCATCTAAATGTTCTAAATGGAAAGCCACAGAGTTGTTCATCACCAACAACACCACACTGAGGGAAGGTAACTGACATAATCACTCACCGAATCGCAAACCGGCGCAGACTGAATGAGACTCGACAACTCTTCCAGACTGGGGCCAGTAGGCCCATTCATCAAATCCCTCGTCTCATCGTAGTATAACGGTGGACCCTTTCCATCGGGATGTTTCGGGCTAGGCACATCAGTAGTGATCATAGATTGCTGCATAAACCAAAAGTATAGGAACTTATTGTTATCACTTGGAATTGAACAAGCTACAGTGTTGTACTTTTCACCAAAGTAAGATGAAAAACATACTGACAAAAAAACTAACATCGTTAAACAGCTCAAAGAAATCAATTTTTAGTCGGTTACTCGACTAGTCAGACATTCTAAATAAAACACCCAAAATAAAAAATAATGGCCCCTAGCTGCACCTAACATGAAAACACAATTGTTTTCAGATTCAGTGGATAGGAAGAAACAATTTGAAACCACTCGACGAGACAGAGCAATTCTCGTGACAAAATAATGCCTAACGCACACACTACTCGTCTGAAAAACTGTATAAAAATGTCTCCAACATGACTTTTTCAATCACAATAAGACAAATCTCGCTGTAGATTTTGCCCCGAAAATTCGTTATTGCTCACATTTTATTATTCATCCAGGCCGATAAAAACGAAAAATGCTAAAAATGAATTATTGCAAAAGAGGATATCGGACATTGGGAAGAAAGAACAGGAATCCTAACAAAAATATATAATCTTCTTTCAGATATTGAACACAAAGACTCTGTGGAGTGAGGTCTGCGATAACATCTTCATTGCCATGGAATGAGTTAAGCATGAGAGGATCGCGGTGAAACTTTTCAGATTGAGCATCTACGCATTCTTTATCAATTGAACATGAAGCTTCTTTCTTTACCGTTCAGTCGGAGGTGGTGTAATTGGAGTCACTTCCAGAGCAGTTTAAGTAACCTTTGGCCTCAAACGGTGTCGCGTGCGTTCGAGCGAACTTTTCTTCTGTTCATCGTGGGAGATATATCTCGAGCACTCCATTCTATCTATGTTCTTATTGATTATACCATCCTACATTTTCCTCATTCCGAGAAAACTTACCGTGGTTAATTTGAATAATGATCGTGAATAAACGTTTTCGCCCGCTTTCCCTGTGACTCCTATGTTTCGGACTCGGTCGAACTAGGTCATACAATTGAAAGATACCAGGCGGACACAAGGCGCGCCGGATCGCTCATAGGAAATTGGCTGCTTAACATTTAATCGCACAGTAACACAAATTTTTTCGATGATGTTTTGTGCTCACTTAAGAATTATCATACATAATTTGTTACGATTAGACTGATTGCAGCTTTAGCTGGGGTAGATTCCAAAACAGCATTACAGTACGTATTATAATCAATCATTAGTCTACGTGGAACAATGCCTTAAGAGCGATCAACTGGTTGAAAATAAAGATTGTCTATCAGATTATTCTAGAGTACAATTCAGTCGGGGATTATGTCTATATCCACTGCATCTGACTTTTGGAAGTGTGGTTTCATAAACTACGTATCATCTTTGTGCTTGAGGATACCGAATACACGGTGGTTGGTTGCAGAAGAATAGATGGATTTAACACTACCAATGCGACATTTTAGACACAACCTCAAAAAATGATTACAAAATCACGGTAGGTTAACCACTGCATGGAGCTGGCGATGTGCATTCTTACAAATTATTACACCACCTGGACGGACGAGTCTGAGACTTTTGAGTCTGCATTACAGACACCGAATCCACAAACATCCACAAACAAACGCCATAGCATGTAGTCTTTGCCAATTTATTTGAACTCTGAAGAAAAGTCAATTTTATAAAATGCTGTACCGGCCAATATAAGTCCCCATCACGTTGCTCGTGGTTAAGAGTTTCTATTCGATTCCAAAGAGCAGTGAAAAATGCGAATGAGCCTAACAAAATATTTAGATTTACTTATTGCTGTCGAATAATTTTGGTATTTAAATACCATTTGTGCTGAGCTGAAAATTACTTGTCACTTATTTCTACATGTTGCAACTAGGTGGGTAAACAGACGAGAAAGAAAACAGAAACTCTAGAAATACCGAACCCAAGGCCAGTACATTAAAAACAGAGAATCACGGCAAAACAAACCAGATTCAAGAATCTTTATCAGGTCAACCAATAAGTGTATCAAACCTTCATGTCGAGGTACAACGCGTTAACCAAAATCATCCTCATGTAACCTAACATGGGCTTTACAGGTCGCATGATTATCACCACAATGGTAGTAAATTGGTGTGTTAAATCAAAATCTGAACATATTCGGCACTGACAAGTATCTAAGGCTGGTGGGGCAACCGGACGAGCACTACTGAGGTTAGACGCAGAGTTCTTTATAACCGCGGTCACCTAATGGAGCAAGTGGTCAACCGCCATAGATTACGTTCACTGGGGTGTGTTACGCATGTCACTAAATGGGTTGCCACGCTGGTTAGAGACACTGAGTGATATGACTGATTGTCGTAAACAGTAGCGTTCGTACATTTTTCTCAATTTTTGCAACCCTAGTCCACTAAAATTCCGCATTTTCTCTTCAGCTCTACTTTCAACCTTCCTGCCTTTCTCCTACCGGTCATCCCAACGGGCAACCAACGAGGGCAACCAAAACCGCCGCACAAAACTATATGCTTAATAGCTGTACAAACTGAACTGAAACTAGGGTTGGAATCATCGGCTAAATTAAGAGATATATGTATTCGATTGAAGTTTTACTCGGTAAACAGCATCAGGTTCAACGAAAATGTTTGTGAAGGAACCATTAGAAGGTTGATTGTGTAGACAGTGTGCCAGGAAATTCACATCAAGTAAAACATCCAGGTCCGAATATAACTTATCTGTTTATGCAATGCACCCAACAAATAGAACAAAAGCAACTCATATCAATTTGCCTACCGTGTCGAGACTCGGAGCGGTTAGAATCTCGCCAGACAATTTGCCCATTGTTGGTAGACTCAGCCGATCCTTCAAATCATCAGCATTTTCGACATACAAAGGTGGACCGGTCATGGCGAATGAAAGTTGTGTCTATAGACGAGAAATAAAGTAAACAGTTTTCATCTTTCGATAAATCAACACAGCGTAACATAGTGTTCATCGAATAGCAAAACAGAAACGAATGCAGAAGAGTGGTTGGTCATGCACAGGCTACCCATGTTTGGCAGAGCAAACACTGTGACAAACAAAAATGTGCATCTCACCATGAAAGCTCACTCGACCATAACATCCCTGAACTATCCCCACAAACTCACTGCGGGAAGGTGAATCGACCAATGGCAAAAACAAACGATACTTTCCAAATTCGAATTTGTTATGACGTTGGCACCATGCTTGTCTCCAAGCCGTTGTTAAATATATACATCTTTATACCATCATACATCGAAATACAGTGACGAGAACTTCACTGATCGCTGCCAAGCTCGCAATGCATACAAGGATAGTGGCAAAATTTAAATTGGAAAGGGACTGGACCTATTTTAAGGGAGGGGGAAGAAGGTACACCTCTATGGTCAACACACAGTAGGCAA